CCGGAGGCCGGGGCGACGCCGGCGGCCTGAAGCGCAACAGCGAACGGAAGACCCCGGAGGGCAGGGCCAGTCCGGCCCCGGGCAGCGGACACCCGGAAGGTCCCGGTGCTCACCTGGAAATGGTGAGAAGCAGCCCCGGCCCTAGAGGTGGAAGCTAGCGGGTGCAGATTTCCTTGACCGGTTATGCCGCGAGGGAGTTCCGATCCCGATCAGACAGCAGCTGCCAAAAGGCAGCACACGGGTTTAGGAAAGACACGTTTCTCCCTGCCTGTCTAGGGAACTGAGTAGCCCGAGGGTACAAAATAGCAACATATTAGTGACATTTTAATTACTAGGTAATTCCTTAGTGAAAGTTTCCTTTTGATTTCAAAAAAATCTTTTTTTTTTCTTAGTGACACAGCACTTATCCCTACTGTCAGAGGTGCTAGGGGCAATTGCAAGTAAGACGATTGTATTTAGTTAGGCAGATTCCATTAATAATCGGTAAGCTGGTATATGAATTGCATTTGTGATCGCCAAGGCCTAGAACTTAACCGATAATACCCTTTTAATAAGGAGCAAATCTCCCTCCCCACTCTTCCATTCTTTGAAGTGGTGTGGGGTGGGAAAGAATGAACAACTATAATTACAAAAGCAAATATATAACAGTAATAACTAGATGGCCGTATATAGATAAAGACAAGTCCTAAAGGGTAAAATGGTTTTCTGTGCCTTTTTTTTCCCACTTATGGAAGTGAGTTCTTTTTTTTTTTTTTTTTCCCTTATACTTTTTGACTGGAAGCATCTTAAATTCATTATTCCGTTTCTCCTGGAAATGTACATGACCAACCAAGGCGAACATGTGTGATATAGATTCTCTGATGTTAGGCCAAGCATTGGAAGATCCTGTGAACTGCTTTGTACGGTTTTGTTGAACTATTAAATGCTTTCCAATCTGACAGCTGTGCGGAGAATTGGCCTGGCCGCCTTCAACAATATCAGAATTGGGAGAGGTGGAGGATTTTATTTGGGTCTGGAGTTGTGCAATGGTAGTAATAAAGTAAATCAAGGTTTGAAGAAACTTTTGGTTAAAAACTGCCAGTTATATACTTGCATAAGTTGTTTAGGTACATATTAAGTTTACATACATTTATAAGCATGCATGTCATTTCAACTTTATACTATTCAGATTGGAGACACATTTTCTTTTTTTTTTTTGGGGGGGGGAGAGGTTTTTGCTATTGGGCGCATGCGCTTGCCAGACAGACAGAGAGAGACAGAGAGACAGAAAGCAAGAAATCACCCCTCAGAGGGGATGGCCACAGCGCAATCCCTTCTCCATTCTCCTCTCCAGATCCTGGGCACACCATGCACATGTGCCCGGTGTGAGTTTAAGCCACTGGTCTGGCACTCAAACCGTGGTCAACTACATGGGAGTCCAGCGACATAGCCATTACGCTAATCGCTGGTCCTAAAGATACGTTTTCACTAAGTAGTCAAATTAGCTTTAAAGAAGTTTGATATAGTAATAATTTATTGCCTACAATATGTGAGTCATTGTGTTAGGCCATGACAGAGCCATATGATTTTTTCCTGTGGGAGAGTAAACATCATCTATGTTTTTTAATACAGAAAAAGATGCATTACAGTATGGTGGAAAACCAATGGACTTAGGACATGTACAATTTGTATTTAACTCTCCCGTATTGATAGTCTGAGAAAGTCATTTTATCTCCTGACTTTGATGTCCTGTCATGCCTGTGGAATAAGAGGATTAAAATATTAGATTGTTTATATTTCTTCCATTAGTAAGAAATGATGATTCTGAATGCTGCCAATGAGAGTGGTTATCAAATGGATTCTTTGAATTAGTTATCACTTGTACTATGTCATTATTATATGTCTAAAATTCTCTGATCATTTATTTCATAATTTTAATCAAGGAAGAATAGTAGATGAATGGGAAATATATAAAATTAGCAGTTCTATAGTAATTAAAGTTAATTTGCATATATGAAACTAGATTTTAACATTTCGTTTTCAACCACCTTGTCTTATTTCAGGGATACCATGCCACTGGTTTTGGGTAGAATTTAGCAAACTCCCTTTCAGAGTTTAGATTTCCTTAAATTCCCTTTTCAGTTTTTTAGTGTTGTCTTGGTCAACAATCATAATTTTTCAGTTTCATGTTTTCAATTTTTTTAGATGTTTTTGCTTTAGGGCCCATGTGCTCGCAGAGAGACAGAGATGTGAGAGAGGAAAGTGAGAAATCACCCCCTGCCACAGTCCCTTCTGCATTCTCCTCCTGAGATCCTGGGCACCTGCACATGCATCCAGCCTGAGTTTTATGCCACTGGGTCTGGGACTTGAACCACAGTTGTCCATGTGGGAGCCCAGCAATGTAACTGCTATGCCATATGCTGGCCTTAATCTTGTTTTGAATTGCTAGGTAATTCCATCATGAAACAACAGTAACAATGTCTTTGCCATTTACTTCATGGAAATGTGTATCTTAACCTGTTGGTGACCAATGACTATTGGAAGACTTGGTCTTATTGCTAATCTTTAGAGTTATTATTAGACTATCTTAATATAACTAACCATCAATTGTAATCTATTTATTATCTGTGGAAAATAGCTCTGTATTTGAATGGCACCTTTAAATTTGGCAACCTTAGTGGTTTTGTAAATAGGGAAGCATTTGTTTCATCTGATGGAAAAATTGGCAGGAGGCTGATGCTCTGAGTGTTCTTTTTCCACCTGAGCAGTAGCTATAATTTTTAAAAGAATTATTTATTTATTATGATTACTTTTTAATTAATTAATTAAGTTTTTTGGAGATTTTTGCTATAGGCTGTGTGTGCTAACCAGAGAGACAGAAAGCAAGAAACACCCCCATTGCAATCCCTTCACCTCCATTCTCCTCTCATGATTTTGGGCACACACACACACCCAGCATGATTTTAAGCTGCTGGGTCCAGGCCTGGAACCACAGTTGAATACACAAGAGTCCAGTGATGTAACAATTACGCCATCTGCTGGTCCTGATTGTTTTTTAATTTTACCAGAGGGAGAGAGAGGGAAAATGAGAAAGCAAGTCGGTAGGCCCAGGACTTGGACCATGGTCAGCCATGTGGGACTCCAACACCCTAACCACCTACCTACCTTTTTTCTCCACCTGAGCATTAGCTGTAATTTTTCAGGAATGAAGGAATGGATAGATGTTGTCCTCAGGATTCAGTATTAGCAAGTAGAATGGAAAATCAGTTTGTTTTGTCTGTTGGCTTATGTTTTCCTTAATACAAAATGAACTAGCAGAATTAGTGGGCTTCTGTGAGGTTGGAGATTTTTATGTGTGGTGTAGGCTGTATCCAATTACAATAATTGGATACAGTCTACACTGCAAGTGGGAAAGCAAAAACTTGTAAAGCAAATACAAAGGGTATTCATATTTGTTTTAATTATGGGAACTTTGGGGTATTGCTAAAGAAAAACATCTCATCTAGTTGCTATCTTCTGAGGTTGAGGGTACTTAAAATATTAAACTTTATTCCATTTTGAGCCATTATAAAGTCTTCCATAATGTGCCATTTTGCTTAATAATTGTTTTTCTTTTTCTTTTTTATTTTTTATTTTGCACTTGCTGGAGAAGGAGGGAGGGAAAGTGAGAAAGAATATCCGATGGGGGATGGTCATATCACATTTTGCCTTTCAGGATTTTGGGCATGCAAACATGTTTTGTGTGTCATGCACACGTTTCTTTCTTTCTTTCTTTCTTTTTTTTTTTTGGAGAGGTTTTTGCTATAGGGCATGTGCGCTTGCCAGACAGAGAGAAACAGAGAGATAGAAAGCGAGAAATCACCCCCCAGGGGGATGGCCACGCTGCATTCCCTCCTCCTCCATTCTCCTCTCAGGGATCTTGGGCATGCACGCACACGTGCCCGGCGTGTTTTAAGCCACCAGGTCCAGGATGCGAACTGGGGTTGACTACATGGGAGTCCAGCAACATAGCCATTACGCTAACTGCTGGTCCCATGCACACGTTTCTTAAGCTGCTGGGTCTGGGACTTGAGTTGTTCAGTTGGTCATGTGGGATCTAGCTGCTTTAGCTACCATACCACCAGTTGGCTCCAGTGATTCGCTTTTAAACCTGAAGAAATGATTTTCAAAATCGGAA